CACAAACACTTAAGTCGGATTCTACGAAACAATTAATATTAATTGAGAACTGTGATTTTGCTTTGTAAGGCGAACTGAAGGTTCATAGCAGAGCTTTGGGTAAATAGACGGGGCGTTTAGGCACTCTGGATGGTTGCCCCCAAAGATTCAAGGCCTTATCAAAATTGCATAAGTGATCCAAAGCAACACTCTGGGTATGATTTTAATGAGGGAATTACATTATTTAACTTCCCTTTGGGCTCAGTAAAGTATTTTCACAGAGGATTTCTGATTTCGATGGTTCACTGAATAAGGCCGTAGCGTAATAGGTGGAAAAAGTGAAGCGTTTTAAATACTTTCCAGGTTCACCGTATTTCCCACAAAGCCGGCGAGTTGTGAAAGCTTGATGGTTACACTGAAGACAGCGGTGCAGAAAACAGAAAAAAAGAAGGGTGGCACTTGAATTGCTCACTTTCACGACAGATGAAAGTGACATTTGAGACATAAAGATATAGTTGTTTTGAGATATTTTTCCACGGAAAAAAAAAATCCTGTTTTGTCTGTTCTCAGTGCTGACAGATGTCTCCATGACCGTCTGCATCATTCAAAAGGCTCACAACAGTTGCCTTAAAGAGCAAGTAGCTCGGACAGCTTTTGTAACCACCTGGCAAACAGACGTACACGCCTCAGTACACCAGGTATATATGTATTTTCAAATATATTGGGAATAAATGAGGTTCTTATGGAATTAACTGCTGAAAAAACTGAACAGCAAACGTACAATGCCAACTACGCCGTCATCTGTTGGACTTTGAACGTCAGCATGAATTAGATTATGACTAACTACGGAGCTGGAGGAGAATCTGGACACCTCAGCAATTTGACTGATAGGACTTTGAATTACAGCAACTGCATTGCAGAAAATTACTGCTGTATTGTAGGTGTAACTTTGTAAAATGATAGTCTACTCTGGGCCAGTTTACTGTCCTCTGCTTAAGGAAATGTTTTAAACCTGTATTTTGTCAAATGCAGGTAAAGCATATTGATGAATTAAAAAACACATTTCACCTCATGTGTCACGCTGACGTGCATAATGCCAAATTACCTCCATCACTCAGTTTCAACATCGTTACGTAACATGGAATATCTGATATTGTTTTATTTATTTTTTTTTAATTTTATGTTTTATAATCTTTATTGCACTTCTTGTTCCAATTGTTGCTCTTTTATGTTGGTTTTCAACTGCACAGTGACTTTGACTGTCCTGAAAGTTGTTTTAAAATAAATGAATAAATACATTATTATTATTATGTAAGAACAGGTCAACTCAACCTATTTGAAACAACATGAGTAAACTGAAACAACCAAAGTGTAGATTTTATGAGCTGTTCTTTCTCTTATTTATTGCTTTGCTTTTATATAAATGTATATGCTAAATAAAGCGTAAAACTGAACCAGCAGATTCTATAACCAGAAACATATGGCTTTCTCCGCAAAGGTGTTAAATGTGTTTGACATACCAACGCAGCTTTGCATACATAAATTAAAAGGGTGAAACAAACATAAAAATGGCCTCTGTTGCTTTGTAGAACTTCTATTATTGCTTCAAATGTATAAAGAATTGTCTGTACTTGAACTAAAAATAGGTTAGTACATGAACAGTGCTGCTCCTAAAACTGCCCAAACAGGTTTTTGCCCGTCAGAAAAGTTATGCCAATAAAAAGTTGTTCACTATGCGATTAAAAAAACACAAACCACATCCTACACAGTGTTCAACAGCAACAGCAATGTCAGTCATGTTTTTCTTCCTCCTCCTGGATTTTAGATCAAATGTACATGCATTTACACAAGACGGACATGAATGTCACACTAGTTTGGGGCTTTCAGTAATTTATCAGATTTTTTTGTTGGTTTTTTTCAGGATTCAGTTCAATAAAGCTTCAGCTATTCCTGAAAACATAAAGTTGGGAGCTCAGGTCATCAGTTATTCTACAAATTGTACAGTTTTTCTATATTTTGTTTTAGAAATAATGTTCACATTGAAATCCAGAGTTTTGTAAACATGAAACTAATAAGGTTGATTCTGTTTTGGGGACTGCTCGAGTAGAAGGAGTCTTCATCAAATGAACCGTGCACATCCTCTTCATCAGACTGTTATACAACAACAGTGTCTTTAGTCAGAGGCTTCCTCAGAGCCGCTGTAACTCCTCTACGAAAGATCCTTCATGCCCACAGCCATCACAGTTCTTTCCGACTCTTTGAAGAAACTTAGATAATATAAGTTACAACACAATTTAATTTCTAATTGCAGTTAAATCTGTCATGAGTTGCGGTTGATGGTGGTGAGGAGAGACGCAGGGAACCCAGGTTATGGTGAAAATAATGAATTTAATGATGAAGCTCTCAGTCCAAAAACAGGCAGCACGGCAGAAAGACAGGCACACAGCCAAATACCGGTAGCAACTGATACACAGGACAAAAACGAGAGCTAACGCTATCCAGGACTTTACAGTTCTACTGGAGCGGAAACAAGACGTGACTTAGACACAACGAACTTAGACACAGATTAACGACAAGGACCCGACGAAGAACACAGACACAGGTGGGCTTAAATACACATGGAGGGTAATCAGGTAAGTAGACACACCTGGGAGACAATCAACGGGGAGGACAGGACAGAGACTCACAGGGAAACAGGAACACATTGAAAAACTCAAAAACACACAGAAAACCACGGATCATGACAAAATCAGTTTGAACTAATTGAACAGTTTTCTGAGATACGGGCTGAGGGTGTTGTCATGTCACCATCTCATGTCACTGAAACAGGAGATTTAATAATAATTCATTGTGCGAGACCTATGAACAAATGGACAAGTATGAATGAAGACTGCTTGCTGTAACTTGTTGCTATCAAACCAGGCAACAGCAGTGCTTTATTGGGTAACGCCATGGAAAAATCTCAAATTGGCCGAGATATGGAGAATTTGGACTTCTTTCACAAGTTTTCGTCATCCTTAGGGACTATTTCCAGATGCCTAAAGCTGCCATGTTTAAACGATCACAGGTAAGTAAGAACAACATGGCAATTTCAGACGTCATATAACTCAGAAAGCAAAATAGGTACCGTGAACCAGACATGAATGTGGGACAAAGACATTTTTTACAAAGTAAAATGTAAACACAAGTAAAATGTAAACACAAGTAAAAGTGTTTGGTCATCATGACCATCTTTACATATGATAATAAAAAGGGAAGCTTGTAACCCTGAGAAGACCCTCCCAACTACAAAGTATGAGAAGCATCCACTCTCACAGCTGTGGGAATGGATGAGGGTTTTGATACAGGAAGAGCTGGTGCAAATCACAAAATAACAATCTGTGGATATATTGACGCAACATCTCCAGACATAAGCCAGGAGGTTACAGCTTGGAAATGGGTAGTAACCCTCAGTGTATTACCAAACTAGTGGACTTAAGGAAAGAAAGCGAATGGATTGGCCATCAGAAAATGTATAGGTCAATCTGAAAGGCCAGGTGGCCAACAAACCTGATGGATTCAACCCTTGTTGCTCTCTCAACTTTTTGGCTCTTTGCCTTTTTATACCTTCGCAATTTTGGTCGTCTGGCAACAGTAAACTTGACGCAGTTGGCGCCCTGGGTGGAGAGCCATATGGCCTGTTCAACAAACCACCACTTGCTACTGAATGTATGAAGCATAGCGCAAGAACAGCTCATCCTCTCTCCTGCATGTTACTGCACACTGCTAGTCAACTGGCTGAAAGCAGGCTGCTTCACATTCAGATGTACCTCACTTACAAGTATGAGAAACTGAGCTGTTTTATTGGACTAAACAGCAAAGGTTGCATTAATCAGCACAATAAGCACCATTTTTTTATTCTGCATTTCTATTCACATTTTCTGTTCATAAATATAAAATGAATGATCTAAGTGGCAATTAGATCCATGTTACACAATGGGTAATATGTTACACAATTACCCATTGTGTGGTATTTTTATGCAGGGAAGTCAATGTTGTACAATGAGAAGAGAGCTTCTAATGAGAAAAATAAAGCAAAAAAAAAAATAAATAAAAATACCATTTACATAGGCCTACATAGAGGCCTCTGTTAGATAGATATACAAGACTAAAAATGAAAGATAAAGGCAATGTCAACAAACTTCTTTGGTTGTAAAACCATCGCTTGACCGTGCTTTCTGAATTAAAACATCAGCAGAGCCGACGGTGATGGTCCAGATCAGTCAAAATTGTGTGATTTTTATGAGATTTGAAGGAGAAAACAAGAGACTTCCGTCTTCCTCTTTGCTGCAGTGCAGAGCAGGAACAGCTGTGGGGGGAGCCCAGCAGATTCTTCCAGGACTGTGAGACAATTTAGTGGCTCAGTAAGAGCCGCTAATGTCCACCATCATGTTTACGTGGCTTTACAGCTTAACTTGGTTTTATTATGCAAACACTATATTTCAAGTTTGACAGACTAACAAGCCGGTGGCTGCCTTTGTTTCATAACTCCACACATTTAGAGTAGCTGCGCTCATAGAGCGGTTGTTTACTCAGGATTACAATAGACCTGCTATGGCAGGATATGAAGTGCATTAGCAGCGAATCTGGTTAATGTCAGTGTTAAGGCTACATAAACATCGTTAAGCTACGGAGCAGCAGAATGCAACGCGGCCAGGAGCAAGGTACGGGTGGAGGTGTAGCGTAACTTGAATTAGCCACAGCGACTTATTTGTGAAAAGACAATACTTGGTCCATGTTTAAAGGAAGGGAAGTTGATTAGATTCGAAGGATACGAAGAGGTATTTCACGCTGACACGTTGCTTTTTAGGTTCTTGTTGCAACAAGTTGTTGTTTAGTCGCCACAACATGGCAGAGACGCAGGCAGCATCCCTCATTACGCTTAGCACACACCCATACCGAGCCCCCCGCAGCTGCGAGGCCCCGCGTTTTAACGCACAAATGCCACAGGTACAACACGTCCTCTCCGTATTTGAGCTTACCTTCTGTAAAGCCGAGGTGTAGAAACAGTTTTCGTCGTCGCCTTTTCCTTCTCTCCCTTCTCATAAGATCTCCTACACTCCGACCATCCTCATTTTCTAGTACTTCTGCATCAAGAACTCGCTTTAAGGACCGACGTCGTTTCTTGTAAAAGCTGTAAATGTGGGTTTTCGTCTTTCCTTATTTCTGACGTAGAGAAAGTTAACTTCGAGAGCAGGGTAGAGAACTTTCAGCAGTGCAGAAAAGCAGCCGAGGTTCACTTCCCTGTTGCGCACAATGTGCCATTGAGTGGGGCTGCGTGCGTTATTTCCTGCCTTCACGTTCAAAGCAAGCCCTCACTTGAACGTCTTGTCATTACAAACATCCCATCCGCTGAGAAGCAACGTAACGAGAGACACTTTTGAGCTCTTACAGCTCTTAGTTTATAGCGGTTTCCACCTGCTTCCTCTTCTAAACAACAAACCCAACCTCTGATTTAATGAGCCCCTAAAAAAGAAAGTAAACAGGACATGATGTTCAATAGGGATTACATAAACGTCCCCGTTAAAACAGAAACTGTTTAAAGAGGGCTTGGTTTGTAGACTTCCACAGAACTGCTCGTAGGCGGAGTACTGTTGAGTCACTGTGCCGCTCGCCGTATAACTTCCAGTAAGGGAAATGATACCATATCTGCAGAGGACAGAGCCTGTGAGTCGGATGGTTTGTTTTTCCCAACTATAGCCACTGAAGGTCCAAAACATCTGCTACCTCAAAAGTGCCAAAATGTTGCAAATACAAGTGAATCTCCTTTAAGAAGAATGTCGTAAAACAAATAAGCAAAAGTGTAGTAGAAAAAGCTGCTTGTGCAGATTTTTCTACTACACTTCCTCCTTCCACACAACTTTCCATTACTATGCTTGGACACTGTGTGAAAAGTTAACTTCCTTAGCGATGATGTGGCTAACATCTGATTGGTTTGCTTGCATAGTAAATCCACATTACACCATTTATTTTAACTTGCGCAGGATGAGGATGACCAAAAAAATGTCTTAATGCTAGGGCTAAAAAATGTAATTTGTCGGGAACACATTATTGGCACGATTATTATGAAGATGTGTAATTATTTCTTTACCCATATCTACCTTTTTTTAAGGATGTTTCCTTTTTTTTCCCCCGTGATTTCCTGAAGTAGCCACCAGGGGACAGTGACGTGCTGCATTTGAACACAACCCCTCCTGAATCCGTTAAATATAAAATAATGAGATCAGCGAGAACTGAACTGAACCAAAACATGGACACACGGTACCGCCAACTTCTATTCCTCTTAATGATAAGAAATCAAACTTGTTAAAACTTCCCAGGTAAAATAGGTCTTATAGGAAAATGAGCAGCATATAATGGGACTGACTGAGACTGTTTTAAAAAACCTCATAGATAGAAGATATTCTTGCCAGCAGATGTACTTTTTCAGTGAAGACATGTTTATAGCTTAGCTTTTCTGTTTTGTTTAGGCCATTCAAGCACATACAGACTGCATATAAACAAACTCTATTTATTCGTCCTGTCAGGGATAAAAAAAAATAAACCAAAAAAGAAAAAAATCTGATACATTTTTCTGCGTTTGAAGCCTTTCTCCTGTTCTTCAGCATAAACACCGACTGTTTTCCTCTTTGCTTTTCTTGAGCTTTAACTGACATATTTGAAGTTGTTTTGAAGGCCAGATGAGGATTCCTCAGGGGCCACCTCAGGCCCTCAGCCTGGGTTTTGCCCTTGTATGGCTGAGGCTGCTGTGTTGGCTGAGGTTTACAAATCATGTGCATCAATGTAAATACTACGCATCATATTGCTGTTTTTTTTATATTGTTGTTTAAAAATAAAATCATGATTCATTAGGGCTCCTTAGCACTTTCAAAAATATTCACAATGCGAATCAGCAAACAGTAGTTGGACTAAACTTAAAATTTTGGCAGCCTGTATTTTCATCTTTTGGACTTTTTTAAGTCATCCTTTCTAGAGCCATCTTTACTTTGAATATATGAATTATAGTACTAGTATTCACCATGTGTTTGATATAAGTTTGAACAACACATATAGTAATCTTCAGGTCACCTTGCATGCAATAAATTATCCACTGAAGTTTAACAGCAAGTTTTCATTTCTTTAGAATGATTAAATTAGGAACATGACCAACGCATGTAAAGAATTTGTCATAGTTGACACTTTATGATTTTGTTCTTAATTATTATTAACTGACACCTCTTGTATGCATTCAAAAAACACTAAAACATTTTTTTTTGTCTTTACTGCTTTTTAACAAATATCAATTTATGAGTGGAAAATGTATTTAGCAACATGCAGTGGTAAGAAAAAATCAGGTTGCAACATCTAATGTCCTGCAGACCTCACCTAGCTCTCTTAAGATCAGTTTTCAAGATTCAGCAATAAGAAAGAGAGGCTTGGTAATGTTGACCTCTATGGCAGAGACCCGAGAGTAGAGCAAATGAAGAAAACACAAAAACACAAACTTTCAAACTTTTCGCAGTCAAATATGGCGGTGGTAGTGTGATGATGTGGGCTGCTTTGCTGCTGTTTTTTCTCTCAGAACTTGGCATAAATCTTTTTTTTTTTTTAAAGTCTATGTTTGTCTGATATTCAAATCAATGTGATGACCTGAAGCGTTTCAGTGTGAGGGGGGGGAAAAAAAGCAAAAACAGAAGAGAGCAAATACTTTTTACACCAGTGTGGTTCCTTGATGTTTCTGAGGAAAGTACCAACACTCTTAAGGAGGCCAAGGTCTGAGATAAACTTGCATCAAAAATGGTAAGTTTGACGTTAAACCTGAAATCAGATCAGTTCTTTGGAACCGCCTCGGTCAACATCTGTCTCTGCTGCAGCCGTCCCCTGAGAATACAGTTTTAATTGCTGTTGGACATTATCTGTTTATTCTCCCGTGTATCTGTTTACTATTTATTTATTTTGTGATCACATTTTAGTCATGTGGGAGAGGGGGGCGGCCCCAAGTCCTTCTGCAAGGACATTCCACCTGTCAGATCTAATTTCCTGAGAGTTTTGATGGAGCAGCGCAGAAACAATGCAGCTGCAGGGGACGGAGCTCGACGTCTGAGACAGATTATGTTTACTACAGTTTCTTATTTTTATGTTGATCATAAATGGATTTATTATTCTGGAAGGAAACCAGAGGGGAATGTGTAATTTTTAAACAATCCAGAGGAAAAACCTCATAAAACCTTAATAGATTTTTAACAATATTTGTCAGATTTATTTTTTTATTGATAGATCTATTTAGGTGATTTCTGAAGAATTTCGGCTACACGTTCACATCGTTGTCCTTGTTTCATTAAGGCAAACCTGTGCAGAAGTCCCACCATTTTCCGTGTGCTGCTAGGTAAAGAGTCCTCCCTACATCTGGAACCAATACAGCTGTGCCTGCTATCTGCAGGACCAGGGGCGGGGAGGTTGCAGGCTGCGTTAGCGGAGGGTGAGGGGCCGGACTGGTTGCTACTTTGGCCCTGGGGGTCTGTGTGTCCCTGACTTCAAAATAGATTTGATTGCTAACAGCTGGCAGTCCTAACTCACCCGGTGTCAGAGCTCTCCTCTGATGTCAACCTTGTCAGCGTCAAGGCCCGCACAATGGAAGGCCAAAGGTAGAGAGGAGGACTGTGTCGCTGTAAAATGAGATTCAGACAGTGACTTTTTTTTTTTTTTTCCTTTGTGAAGGTTGTTGCCATAAATAACTTTCAGGTTTTTGGTCCCTGACAGAAACGCTTCCTGCATGTGTTCAATGTAAGCAGCAGATATTTAGGTTGAGCGCTTGCTAACAGCTGTTTAAACTGACACAATCAAGAATATCCGCAACCAGGAGAGCAGCTATGGTGCAAATACACTCGCAAGCAAGCAAATGACAACGTTAAATTATACAGAAGTGTCCTTTGATATTCGCCAAGGTAAAAGTGTGGCTGAGCTGTGTCCTGCTATTCAGAGCCCCAGTCTGAGTAAATAGGACGGCAACTCATTAGCATCTTTTATTATCCAATTACAAACCCTGCTCGCCTAATTACCTCCAATCAGCAGGGAGAAGAAAATGATTGACTTCCTGGAGGACAGGACTCACTTTGGGACAAAAAAAAGGGACAAAGTGTTTTTTTTTTTTTTTTTTTTCTTTTTCTGAAAGTGAAACCAAATCCGCTGCTTCTGTTACACTGTCAAAGTATTTTAAAGACATTTTCATAAATATCTTAAGGTAATCTCAGTTTTTAAACCAATGTTAGACTTCAGGTGCCTCATCATTAAAATAACTCTGCAAAATGCTGGTGAAATGGTTAAATCCATTTGCATTATGTACATGAACGACCTATTAGTTTTGGGCTTTAATGGATCTGATTGAGCCCTTTATTTTGAAACAAATGTATTCAACAATTTTTAAAAACTAAAGTCTCTCCAGAAATCATTTCTTAATTTCATAATTTTCTCGTATCCACACAAAATTGCTCGTACAGGTTTAAAAATAAAGTATCACCTTTAGCAGAGAAACCAAACAAGCTTTTCCACCATGAGGACGGTCCTTGTGGAGAAAGATAATTGACCGTTCTTCTTGGAGGAATTGGAGTTTATTTAAATTTGCTGGTTTCTTGCCATAGATCCAGCTAAACATAGTGCTACAGGATCTTAATGTTATTCTGCTTCATCCGTGCAAAAGTCAACAGCAAACAGGACAGTGATCCCAAACACTGACTGTCCTGACCACACAGCTCTGTGGGTTTTTACAGCCTGAGCTAAAAACTCACATTTGTGGCAGGAAACCAGCAACATTAAACAAGCTCTACTATAATTAAACCTAATTTAGTCAGTATGATGCCAAAACGCATTAATAGCTGGAAACAGCATGTGCACATTGTGCAAGGTCTAAGAGACACTTTTCTAAATATTATCAAACATTATAGAGAAAATGTAAGATAAATGTGTCTGGAAACAAACAAACAACAACAAAAAAAACACCTAACGGGCAACAATGCATTTAAGCTTTTTGACTCTGCATAGAATAAATCAAATCCACAATACGTTCAATTCTGTGCATCCATATTAAATTAAAAAAATAAAGGCACTGGAAAAAATGGTTAGAAACAAACCTTTGGCATAAAAAGGTTGAGTGAAATTTAATAACAAACCTTTGGCATGTTATTAAATTTCACTCAAGTTCCATCTTGGAAAAAACTAAAATGAGTTATAAAAAGCCCCACATTTATTTTATTTTTTCCCTCTGATGAATGTATATAAAATTTCCCACTGGTATATATTTTTTTCTTGCTTGCATTTAATACCTGCAACTATTATTTGAAACATTTTTTTTCCTTGTCGTCAGTCACATTTTTGCCCAAACAAGGCTCTGCTGTTCAACCGATTCTGTAAATAGCTGCAGGAAAAGATGGGACGAATTCTCAAACAGCTGCAAAAACCATTATCCTTCACTAGAGGATGAAGGGCAACTGCTGCACAAGGTTGCGATTATACCACAGCAATGCATCATTATTAGACAATTAATTACTTTTGTCATTAGCACCCTCAGCACCACTGTTCTGCCGGGATTTGCAGGCGCAGATGTTTCAAGCTGCAGCTCTGCAGCAATGTATCCCGTGTCGTGCTTCGGCTGAACTTTCACTACTTTGCTTAGATTTATTTTACAACTCTCAGTTAGTTTTGAGTCTTTGAAAGATGTCAGGAAGGAGCAGAAATAGCGCAAAGGGCAGGCCGCTGGGACGAGCTGTTGTTTACAGACAGTGACAGGGATGAAGGACCTCTGCGTTCTGGTGCCGGGCCCCGCAGCCTCGGGGGCCACGCCAGCGCTGCTTCCGTGGCCACTCTGTAAGCTCCAGCAGTGGCACACACACACACACACACACACACGGACACGCATACACACGCACAGATACAAACATGAAATGCAAGTCCACGCAGGCCGGCAAAATGATTTGCACACAGAAGCACGAAGCAAGGCAGTTTTGTGTCTGCACCTTTATCATTCATTGAATAGCCTGTTATAACTCATCCAACACCGATTTACACCAAAAATATAAGTTTTGGCATGTGTAAAACTCTAAAATACAATACTTTAAGGGTTTTAATCCTACAAACACCGGCTGTTTTTTTTTGTTTGTTTGTTTTTTTGTCAAACATAATTATTTAAAATATTGAAATATGTTTGTTTATATATGATAAAGATAACCTGAATAAATAAGAAAAGCACTTTTTAGTTTATATAAATTCTTAGTTTCAGTTTCAGTAGCCTCAAGTAGACCTGATTTATTCCAGATTTGATCTGGACGAAATCTACGTCTAGATTTTGTCTAGATGTAGAATTAAAATATTACTTCAGTAGAACCGGTCTGACAACATGAAATGGCCTAAAACATCTCTAAAAAGCATTAATTGAAGAACAGAGGAGGAATAAGGTCACTAACATTATTATTGAAAGTGTTACGAAGCCATTTTTAAGGAATCCAGCGAACGACAGTGAGACTGTGTCCATGTGCAAAAGGAGTGCTGAAGTTCTACCATGTTACTCTTTCAGCACATTGACACTTCAGGAGGTCATACAAGAAACATCTGAAGCACTGCAAGCCTCACTTGAGATAAATGTTCATTTTTATCAGTAGAAAAGAAATTGGATAAAAATGGGATGTTTGTGAGAGTTGCGAGAAGAAAATCTAGAACACAAAAGGCGGCCAATAGCTCCCAATAATTTTTTTGAATCGGCCAAAGACTTTTGGAAAAATATCAGCTGGAACTTTCTGTAGGTATGTATTACATCTGGTTCAAAACTAGCAACATTTTAGAAAAAGAACTTCATGAGGAGTTTAAACAGGGTCGTGGTGGTAACGGTCTATGACAGTGTTCCTGCTTCAGAAACTGGACGACTTGCTGTTTCTGACAGAACCACGAATTCTGCCTTTACCAGAATCACCAGCCATCATTTTGTTACTCACAGCACAAACACTGTTAGGTTATTCAGCTGGAAATCCACCTTGAATGACTAAGAAATGAACATTTTAGAGTGGCCTAGTCAAAGTCTGGACTTAAATCTGATTGAGATGCTGTGATCTGATCTTAAAGAGGCAGTTCATGCTTGAAAACCCCCTAATGAAGCTGAATTGATATAATTCTGCAGAGCAGAGTCGGGCAAAATTCCTCAACAGGAATATAAGAGACTCAACAGCAGTTAGCAAAGACTTTATGTCAAGTAGATTACTATTAAACAAAGGGCCAAGTTGGTTTGGATAGCTGTTTTTGTTTAAAAATGAAAAAAAAAAAACATTTGCTTGATGATCTGAGACAAAAAAGTGTCAAAAAAGCAAAACAAAAAAAAAATTTTGGTTTTTTTTCAGCATAGATAATCTGTGAAATTAAAACAGTAATCAATGAAACATATATAACCAGGTAAAATAAGCCTAAGAAAAGCAGAGACCTTTTGAGTGTGAACTAAATAAACAGCCGCGTTGCAATATTGACAAATTCTGTTTAATATTGTGTGATACTCTTCTCTTAAAATACAGTCTTTTCTGAGGTAGACTATTACAGTTCAAGAAACATCATTATCATTTTTAAAACAGACATCAAATAAAACGACATGAAATAAATATTTTCATGTACAATATGCTGCAAAAATGAGGTAGAAATGGTCACAGAAAATGTACAATAACCAAGAGAAAAAGTTACTGCGGTGGGCAGATTAGAAGTGGACAAAATAAAAGCTTGTTTTGATGGACAAACTGTCGACAGAGAGAAGGAAGTGATTTCATTTCTGTAATTTAATGTGAGCAATTGTGGTAAAGTGTTTTGTTTTGTTTTTTTAATTTCCAAGACAGTGGGGGTCACTCTGATTGATCTGGCCGAAGCCACCAGCTGGTGAGGGAAGGCTGCTCTGAGATATAGGATTGCTGGGCATCAATCAGTCCACTTCCACTCCGGAGAAATCAGAATAAGGGAAGTAGGAGGGGAGGAGGAGGGATGTTGGGGAGGAGATTCAACGCCACATGGTCACTGGAGCCTGTGGCCGGGGGCAATCCAGTCTAATGAGATTGCATTTTGGAAAAGAGAGAGAGAAAAAAAAGAATGATGAGGACGGAGCGACAGAGGGTGGGATGGAGGATAGGGAAATATTACATCATCCTGAAACTTACGAGCCGCTTTGCCTGCAGAACATTGACTGGGTTTGTTCCAGCGTCTAAAAGGACCTGCTGTAGAAGGAGATATATTGCTGGATTGTCTACATGCCGGCTTATGCACAAAATAATTGTAAATATTTAATCTTTGCGATGTACTGAAAGCCACATGCAACACCTTGGTCTGAACTACTAGTTGGGGTTGATATTCTAAGCAATTTTAATCAAGTTTCGGGTTCAGATGTTGACTGTCAGTGCATTGGGGTTGGTTCTGTGTTTATTTTTTCAAATTCAGAAATACAATTTAGAACCACAACATAGAACAAACTTACAGTTGCGGTCAGATTCCTTGGCACGCCTCATAAAAATGTGCAAAAAGCCTTAAAATAAATCAATATTTTACTATAGGTTCCTGGTGTTTCCATGCACTCAAACAAGAGACCCACAGCATCACTGATCCTCCGTCATACTTTAAGGCCTCTTAATATTTTTTTTTTTTGCACCGGACCCACCGAGAGTGTTTATTTCTTAACAGCACAATTTTGTCTCATCTGACAAAAGCCACAGCTCCAGTTAAAGGGTTAATACAAGTCCACATGTTTACTGACCTCCTAAGGGGCCATTTGGTGTGAGGGAAGCATCTAGTTGTTGTTATGGTGGCAAAATACGCATGGGTCCTCATCAACCCAAGAGCCCAATAATAAAAAAAATTAAAATGTTAAAATGGGCCCCTTTATTAAGTAAGCTAATATTTACACAAGGAGCCCATATTGACAGTAAATGAAATGAAAATCAAACAACTGATGAGATTGTTACCTCATGAACATAGAGGTTTTCTGTAGGACAACTCCAGGTAAAAGGAGTTTTATCTCAAACTTCATAAAAACTCCAATCAACTTAAAAAAGTTGACAAATTTGGGAGGTTTTTAGATTGGATCTTTCTGAATGTATTTCTGCGACGTTAAACTAGTAGAATAAATTATTTTAAGGGTTTTTACACATTTGCCAAGGTTTGCTGGTAAATGATGTCTGTGTGTGTAGATATGAGAGGAAAACACCAAACGGTGCATTTCCCAGCAGTCTGTCCAACAAAAGAAGAAATATTTTCTGTTTTCTACATTTCTCAAAGACAATCATCACTTCACCATAAACTACATTAAAAATAAATGGTAAAAGAACTGAAACGAACAAAAAAAATGTATTTATATATTCATATATAATAATACATGGATTTATGGCATCAAATATCCTTTGAAATACCTGAATTACATTCAATGTTACTCTTTGTAGAATATTCAAGTTTCTCTGCTAAGGTACAAGCCCAGCCGCAATGGGTTTTTCACGAGACTGTCACGGTCCTCCTCGCTCTTCTATCTCACTCTCATCTAAGACCCTAAGATTACATACATTCTTTATTTCATATTTCTGAGGTAAAGAAATTCTTCCTGAGCATTTCAAACAATATCACATAATACAAGAAAAAAAAAAAAAACGAAACAAAAAAAAAAAAAAGACAGGAGGAGCGGAGGCAGGAAAACCAACACGATGTGGGACAAGCTGAATGAGCAGGTGTTGTTCTGCAGGTGGGAAACTGAACCTGATGTGGAATGTGAATCGTGAAGCAGGTTTTGGGTTCATCGTACTATATTTACTGTAAGCACCGCACAGTTGGTGATTAGATGGGTGGAGGCATGGTTCTGCAACGAAACATAAAAACACTCCACTTCAACAGCTGCATTCCAGGACAAAGGAGGCCCAGCTTCACTTGTTTTCTCCGAGAAGGTTTTTGTGTCATAGTTTGGTAAAAAAGCTATTGTGAATATCAACATGCTGCGATTTTTACTTTGTACTACTTGTCAGTTTTGAGAAATTATCAGTGCTTTTTTTATTATTATGTATTTGGTTTGTCAAGTTTTTGGTAAAAAAAACAGTTGCTGAAGTGTTGCTGATCCCAAGCCCTTTGAGCGACAATCCTATGACTACACTGACTGTAGGATAACATGGAAGGGGATTGGTAATAAATAGGATCCTGAGAGTAGCAGCCAAAGGGCGGATTTTCCAAACCCTGATTATCCATAATGTTGGACCACATCGCCTAGCAACAAATAACTGATTTTGTCCTGGACCCAGGCTAATCGAGACACCCCTCCGATTTCCCCTGTTGGCCAAATGACTAAAACCCGTTCACCTCACTTTTTCTTTGGGAAAACATCAAATATTATCAGTGTTCTGGGCTAAACAAACAGTATACCGTGTCAGGTTCCTGCCAGTGAAATAACTTTATCAGCGCTGCCCCTACCGTCGAGATTCTCTGGCTCTTTTGGCTGCATAATCAGTAATTAGGAAACAACAACAAAACATCCCCAAGGCTTTAAATGCCAAAGCAAAAACAGGGTCGTAGTGCAGTCCGAGTACGGTGACTAGCTGCTTTCTCAGTGGCTGTACATCTTGCTCCACTCTATACAAGTGTCCAGGTCCTTTGTGGTGGTGTGTGGGCGCACCTTGCAAAAGGCATTCTCAAAATCTGTAAAGTCCGGAGTTTTGGGGGACGTGGCGAGGCCATGCATGGCTCCGGCCGGGGAAGATGCTGAGGAGAGCACCTGCTGGCTCAGCTGCAGCAGCTCCCACACGGAGAAGCCCTCAGTGCGCTGCAGCACAGCGGTCATCTCCCTCTCGCTCAGGGTGCAACCCTGAGGCGTCAGCGCCTGCAGCAGGACATGCTGACGGATCCCCATGTCAGGGAGGCTCACATAATACTTCTTGGCAAAGCTCCGGTGGACCGCATCCGGCAGGAGATCTGGCCTGCCAGTGGCACACACAAGAATAACCAAACCTGTGGGCCCCACCTGGATTTTCTCCAGGGTTGTTAGCAGTATCTGCCTCAGCCCCTCCTCCTCCTCCATTGCTTCCACCTGACTGAGCAGAATCACGGCGGGTTGCCGAGCCCCTGCCACCTGCAGCAGAGAACCCAGAATGTGTTCTGCTTCGAGCTTCCCTTTAGATGCCAACATAGGTCCGCTCACGCGGTAGAAGGAAGCCCCCATCTGCGAGGCCAACGAACGAATCAGTGTTGTCTTCCCTCCTCCTCTGGGACCAAACAGCAGGACGGTTCTTGGAGGGCGCACCAGTGGGCTGGGCCGTAACACGGGCCACAGCAGGTCCTCTTCCAGGGCAGCCTTGACGTGAGTGAGCCCAAACAGTTCGGTCCAGAGCAGTGCCGGGCTGCAGTCTAACAACTCTCCATTGATGAGCTCCAGCAGTCGGGGGTCTGGGCTCTTCATAGCTTCAACAGGTGCAGAACACAACGAAGGGCGTTTGAGTGACTGGGGGCGGTGCTGTTGCTGGGTGAAGCCCTGCTCCGTCACCCCGTTCTCCCCAGTCATGCCTGCAGGAGGACTGTACTCCCCTCCAGCCCCAAACTGAGGAGACACCAGGGGCTGAGAGGAGGGCTTGCTAGGCTTGAAGGTTTGAGGGTCTGAGCTGCCTGAGCTGCTGAATCCGTTTCCCCTGCACTCTGTTTTCTCACTCACTCCATAGGGAGAGGTTCCTCCAGCCTTCAGGGCATCATAGCTGTACTTCCTGTACCGTGATCGGTCCCCACTGTCATCCTCCTCTACCCCCATTTCAAAGGCCTTTCTCTTTAATGTCCCTCCAGACTCGGATGCTCCAAGGTTGGCGCTCTGGTAGCTGTATGAGCCTCCAACCACTGTGGGCCTGGAGGGGATGGGGGTGGGAGCTGGTAGACCTGAGGGGAGGTATGTTGTGGAGGGATGACTGTAGCTGGGAGCAAGGCTAGTCTGGGGTGGGTATGTGCTCGGTGGGTAGTTATAAACCGGTGTGTTGGGGCTGTAGCTGGGCACCAGAGTGGGTGTGGGTTGCAGAGTGTGAAGGGAGGTGGGGGGAAGTACTGCATTGGGCTGAGGACAGAACCCTGAGGAGAGATAGGTGCCGTTGTAGCTGGAGGGATACTCGCCTGAACCGCTGCAGGAGCTGCTGCCACTGTAGGCCGAGTCTGACAGATTACTGTTGACTACTGACACGCTGCTCACCCCAGGGGGCCCCGCAGATGTGGCAGCAGTCTTGGAGCTCGAAAGACTCTCATGGCCTCCAGGAGGAACCAAAGGATAAGAGCCATCAGCGTTGTGTGTGAGCGGCCAAGGCTCCAGCTCTGTCTTCTGGCCGTTAAGGCCCCCAAACGCCCCCGGCTCTGGGTACGTTCCCACCGTAGGAGGCCGGTCGTACGGTGAGTCCAACACGCCTGCGTACTTTTCAGCGTAGCGCTTCAGGAGGTTTGAAGCTGTGAGGGCGGAGATGTCGTCGTTGGCCCAGGCGTAGTTGTAGGAGCTGCGTCCGCGGCCGGAGTAGAGATCCCCCTTGTGGGCTGGAGAGGAGGTGGTGGAGGAGACGTCCAGGTGCTGCTCGGGCCACTGGCTGAGGGGCTGGGCATGCTCTGGGTTCCAGTGCATCTTTAACAGGCCTGACAAGACAGTCACAAAACAACAACAAGTTATTTTTCATGCAACTATGACAAAAAACTTTAGACTGACCCTGTTTCTGGAGTTCTATGTTGAAAATAGAATAGTGAAACATAGTTTTACCTAGTTTTTTATCAGTTATTGACATCCTCAAATGTATTTACTGTACTGTATTGTACAGTTTCTTTCTCACACCACAGATTTTCTTTTCAAATATAAAGTACAAGTCTTACACTTACATGTTTTTTGTTTTGTTTTCCTGATTAAAAGTTCAATTTTAGAAATATTTTAAAGTAATGGTTGCCATTAAGTAATGGATGGATGGATCTTTCAGGTAATGGAATGGGAAAAACGTCTTGAAATATAAATATTTTTTCCTTCTTGTGCAGTCTTATCCAGATCTGGAAAATACTTTCAAACTTTACAGACTGCAAAAAAAAAGAAGAAAAAAACCTGAGTTGACTCCAAATGATACAATAAATTGTAGTGTAAAGCAAAAATATTGCAGCTCTGTGTATTCACTTTATCTTGTAGGCCTGCTCAGCAAATGAATGACTGGTTTTGGCAAGAAGGCAAGCAATATTAATAAATCGTAATTATTAAAAATATTTTTAATATCATCGATTATATGTAGTTCTTAAACAGAAAACAGAATCGGCAGGTTGATATTTTACAAAAAAAAAAAAAAACTTAGAAACTGCTTTGACTATTGTGTATAACGTGACGTGATCAAGGACCCCTCCTGTGCCAAGAAGTGAACTTCCTCTGTCAGGAAAGGCATCTTTTCTCAGTGCTGCTGCCAAGTTTGGGAACAGAACAGTGTCAAATTTCCTACACATGGAGGGGAATCTGAGAGGGAGGCACAGGAAAACATGGAAAGCAGCAGAAAGAAGGAGTGAAAGCAAATCAGTGGGATGCATGTGTTGTTTAGTAGTTTCCCAGCTCATGTTGGCGGAGCGATAAGACCCCTCCGCTGTTCGCCCTACTAGTAGCATCTGCAGGTCTCCCAGAGGAGCTATTGTTATCTCCCTGTGCATGTTGCTGTGAATGCCTGCTCTCTCCGCCCCACACCCCCACCTACCACCCACGGATCCACCCACCCACCGTACACCACCGCTCAGAATGGCTTGCTGGACACAAGGAGGGAAGGAAAAGGAGGGAGTATGTGTATGCGTGCGCGTGCGTGTGTGCGCGCGTGTGTGTGTGTGTGTGTGTGTGTGTGTGTGTGTGTGTGTGTGTGTGTGTGTGTGTGTGTGTGTGTGTGTGTGTGTGTGTGTGTGTGTGGACAGTGGTTTAGAGAGAGTGAGAAAGAAAAAGGGGGTGTACTGGAAGTGCAGCATAGTGAGCTATTCATCAGCGCAGGCTCCTATGGAACATTGGGAAGGGGGAATGTCTGCTCCTCTAGCTGACTTCAGCGAGGTCGAAGCAGCTTGGAAAAAACTAATAAATAATGTTCTATAAATAACATTTTCACTCCATGCCTCTTTACTAAATCTGCCTAAAAACACAAAACTCAAAAACATCCCATAAATGCTAAATTGCGAATATTTTTATGTTATTAGCATGAGATGTAGGATATGGTAGCCCTGCCTCCTGCTCAGGCATTAGCTTGACATTCCACACATAGCTTGGCATTATCGAACTGTCACAATTTACCCCGAGGTGAGAAATACTCCGGCCAGGAACGACGAGGTAAAAAGGAATATAGCATAAGCCGTCATTGTTGCAGCTCTTTGCCTTTTCCTCCAGCAGCCGCCTGATGATTCATTATTCATGGCTGTCTGTAGGTGTGGAGCCAGGACTCTTATTGCTGTTTAAATCAAATCTCAATATCCACAGCGCGAGATTCTGCTTCTACTATCTCGCTGCTAAACTTTGACCTGCGTCTTTCCAAACCTCCCCGTGTGTGTTTTCAGATTACGCCTGTTGTTTATTCAGTCAGATGAGACCAGCAGACCAGATGGCCGTTGGATTATCATGTCCTTCATATTCAAATAGACTCCCTTAAGTTCCCAATGGCCAAACCAGTTCAAGTGCTTCGCTAAGCTTCAGACGGCAACACACGGCTGCACACCCACTGCAGCAAACTGTGACATTCTCACACATCTTCACTTGCAGAATTACAGATTTGTCCACACCCAGATGACCACTTTTTGTTGTTGTTGTTTTTCGGTTCTGTTTTGTTTTGTTTTGTTGCGGACTGACTTGCAGGTCTTTGTCCGGGCCACAGAAACCGTACATGTCCTGCAGGCCCTTCCCATCTGCAGCCGGACCAGTTTGCGAGCAGCCCCAATAATGGGGCCTGTGTGTGACAAAGATGGATGAGAGCCCAGGGGAGCTCATAAAACCTGCAGCAGGGAGGGAGGGATGGAAGAAGGCAGAGACGGAGGGAGGGAGGGAAAAGAGAGCGAGTGGACAGCAGGCGCTCCGTCCTTTCTGAGGGGACTGTAGCAGACATTAGAGGACCCTGTGAGACGGGCTGACTGCTGTCCACTCCATCATCAGCACTAATACAGAGAACTACGCCTCACCTCTCCCATCCCACCAGCTGATTGTGCTTACGAAGAAGCAAATTCACTGTCATTATTTGTAAAAAAAAAAAAAAAAAAAAGTGACTGAATCATTCGTCAGTGAAGAAAGCGGCAGTATTTCAGCAGAGTTTAGCCCTTTCTGTGTAATTAAATGCTGCCTTCTGCTGGATTGTGGGTTTTAGAGCAGTAACAGTTTGAGCGAGCTCTAATCTATGGTTCTGCCTAAATCGGAGCCATCACACAGATTAATTCATTGGAGGGCCGGTAAGAAAGCTAAGATTAGAAGCAGGAAATCAGGACAATGTGTGACGACAGTAAAATCATTAGATCAACCTCAGCAAATGCTCGAGTGTCAGCTTAGATTGCAAATTATTTAAGACATCAGGAAAGGCAAGTGCAGAGCTGGTAAAATGTGTAAATATCAAAGGCAAAAATTCATTTTTCTGTTGCGCCTCCGTTACTTTCTGTTTTCCAGCCTCGAACAAATCAAGCCTCACGTACACATGGGAGGATTATAGATTTAAAACCTGTAGGCAGAGACATTATTATACTTAAAGTTTTAATCCAGACTTGATTATTTTTGAAGCTACTTTCACACTGTGATCACACAGAAAAAGTACTGAATATGTATATATATTCTTTTCTATTTAATATGGAACAGGTCTTTCCTGTGTTGACTGATTGTCTTCTTTGGCTGTGAGGAGGCTGATAACAACCTTCTGTCCGTGCATGTGAAACTTCCCACTCTTTGTGTGTGTTTTCTCGGCCCCAGGAGAGACAGATGTTCCTCTGCTGACCGCCTTACTGTCTGTGCGGCCTTTGTGGTGGACAACCATCCAGCAGACGTGCATGGATCGAACAATCCAGTTGGCCCTGAGACAAAGCCGAAGGGATCCCATTGTCAGGGGCCTGTCTAATTATGGAAATCTTATTAATCTATTCAGGAGCAGTTCACTGACAGCTTTTGTGTCAGCCTGGGATTTATTGAGGGACCTGTGTGAGCTGCATCCTATGGCAGGAGTATGAGATGAAGACAGCGGCATGGCTCTCTTCAGCAATTTTCACTTTTAGGAGGGAGGTTTTTTTTTTGTTTTTTTTATAGCCTTAACATGCTCAGATCTTCTATCTATAAAGTCCCCTCATCCAGTGCTTATTGGAGAACACAACAGTAGTTTTTGTTCCATAAAGTAGGCATTACTTCCAGCTCTGTTGTGGTTTCTCGTAAAAATATTATAGGTTTGAGGTGAAAAGTTATCTTGGCATTAAGCCCTGAGATGGAGGGACCCAGCAGCGTTTCATTGCTCCCCAGAGGTTGCGTTCCCCTTCGTCGTTCCCGGCTCTTTTATTTTCCATGCCTCGAGGAGCAAAACATACACGGATGCAACAAGCCTTCTGGGACTTTGTGCTATTAAAATGTGCAGATTGTGAAGGGGGCTGCTTGTAAACAGCAGCATTTTGGATCAATTCAATCAGGGTCTGTTCGGCGTTGAGCTACACCTCCGTCCACTGATAAACCTAACAACTCGACATCATACACCTGAGGCAGGAGTCAAACGAGTTAGAAAAACAAGATGCAATTTGAGGACAGGATGCTTCAGCAGAATCTAAAACATCTGGAAATTCATCTTTGGAAAAAGCGGAAAGCTGAGTCTTTCTGTTGAGATCCAAGAAAAAGGGTCTATCTGAAAATTGAACTTTGTAAAATGTTACAAAAATGTAAAGAGATGATCAGTTTGGAAATTCAGTTTGTACAAAAATCGTACAGAAGCCCATTCTCAGAAAAACTTAAGTATTGCTGCGACAAAAGCGAATAGAAAAATGACTGGCAACAAAACAAGCTGACACACCTTCACTGTGCATCATTGGCACATGTGAACCTCACCAATTTTATAACAATATGTTCTAGTATTTATTGTAAAGATAGTAAAAGTGATCACAGTTTACTCAACAACAATCAGTCTGGGATATTTTTGGTTATTGATACCAATTGAAGTCCATCCTGATATAAAAGTATAACATGTGAAGATGTTATACTTTTAAAATCAAGACTGTGTCTTGATTTCAAACAGTAGCCAACAGTAGTTGGCTACTGTTTGAAAAGGCACTTTGCCTTTTCAAACAGTAGCCAACATTACCAAATCTAGCAAGTTTTATAACAGAGTCTGAAAACTTAAAAGGATAAAACAGAGATACTTCAATGTAATATGTGCACTTGAACGTCTTGCTTTCTCTCACCATCTCACAGCCTTAGTGAACATTGGACGTATCAGGATATGTGGTTTCTTTAGCTTTAGGTCTTAAAACTTCACTGATAAAGAAAATGGCTAACTTTGAGCTTTCTTACTCACGTCCTACACCAAGTGTTGTTAGTAAAGTGAGTATAAGTTTGAAGGAAAAGGTATGTTTTTAATTTACATTTTAGTTTATTAAAGTATTTATACACCTCTAAATGTTCAACGGAAAAATATTTG